TCTCTCTCTCTCTCTCTCTCATCGGGGTGTCAAGACCAGGGCCAGCCAGCTGTGGCTCGCTTTTGTTCATTTGTGTGATGGCGATGGCAGCCGTGGGCGTGCGAGGGTGCACGAACATAGATTTGCCATACAAGGTGTACATACATTTGACCAAGTTCTGCGGCCTGGGCCGTGCGTGTGGCTGCTGGCGACCGCCGCAGCGCATCAGGCAGCAGCTGCCTGTGGAGCGAGCAGATGTAGGGTACATTTATCACGTATGCCAGTCAGTGTGTTTTTCTCACCGTCTGCAACACCCCTACCTCATGTCTCCCTGCATAATTTCAACTGTACCACCTGCACTACTAATTACAGGGCCACTCCAGTGAGTCATGCATGAGACCAGGCTTTCGCAATATTCAGCATGACACCTGCAGCAGGAATGATGTTGCCATTTCAGCACGTGTGAGCTTGCTGCTGCCACCTGCAACCACTGCCGCTGCCGCAGCTTTACGTGAAGGCAATGTTGCCTCCTTGGCACACAGATTTGGAACAACCCCATGCAGGCACGCACACTGATGGCTTGGCTGATGTCTCTCTTCCGCCTTCTACTTCCCCCAATCCTTCTATCAACTCCCCATTACAACTCCCCCCGCCGGCTTTGTTCCATTGGACTGCTGTCTGCCGCCTGCCCGTCTGCAATAGCCTGGGCACCCATCATGGGCACTTGGTGAGTCTTAAGATGGGCCGTGAGCGTGTGTGCTTACGCACGTGCGCATGTGTGTGTGTGTGTGTGTGTGTGTGTGTGTGTGTGTGTGCGTGTGTGTGTGTCGCGAAATGGACGATTTCTATCACACTCACCTGACTTTGTGCACTGGCCGCTGCTTTGCTGCGCAGTTATGACAAGAACATTTCGCAATGGAGCCGCGGCGAGTGAGTGCAGGCAGGATTTAGCAAGGATGCTGGCAAAGGGGGGAGGCCGACGTGCGTTGTGTGCTGATGAATACACAGCTTTCACTGGTGCCGGCCAATGGGGTTGGATCTCGTGAGGAGGCATTATGGGCCTGGGATGCAAGTCTGCCACGTTGGCGGCGGCCCCAGCATCCAGGTTGGGACACTGTGCTGTTAAAGTTCTTGTGCATCATTACTTGCGCTCTTGTCCTTGCGCCCTGTATTCCATCCCGACGACCTGACACACCTTCGTTGCCATGCACAAATCGGACTGCTGTTGAATTGGATTTGTGACCTGCTGCTGAACCCTGTGCTTGTGCATTTCTGTCCAACTCTGCCCTAAACTCCGACCTCCAACGCAACGAGCAGGCCTTGTCCAAAGTCATACGTTCCCCGCACCTGCAAATCTGCACACCTGAACGCTGCGCATTTGACTCTGCAACGTTGCGCCCCAAGCAAATGCGGCACAAAACCTTCCTGCATTCATACAGGTATCTGTACGCGAGCGAGCCAGACCAGGACGACTTGAACATCATTGCAAGGAAGGTCCCCTGGGTGCAGGACGACGTCGGCGGAGTCCCCTCGTCAGCCTACCGCCTTAGCAACTCATCAAATGCCGGCGGGCAGTCATTTGTTGGTATCATCTCCAACAGCTCGGACGTGGACGTCTTCAGGTTCCTGTCGGACGCCGGTGACATCACCGTGACCCTGCTGCTCGCTTCGGCGACCACTGATCTGAGAAGGACAAAAGACGTCTGGGAGCGCACCAACCTGAACGCCTCGGTAGTGATATCCAAGGCAGATGGCACACTCGTGAGGCGCCTGGCAGCAAGCGATGGTCTCTTTCGCGGAACGGTTGCTGGCGTGACGCTTCCCACTGCGGTGAGCCTACTGTGCACGCGCGCAGGTCACAGCGTTCTTGGCTGTCACGAACTGGGAGCCCTGGATCTGCAAGCAAGCCCTGAATCATCCCATGTACTGCTGGGTGGCAAGGGATGAAGTTTTGATCACATACACTCGTGATCAGCGGCGCCTGCTGCGCGTTACTCGGAAGATTTTGGCAAGCTTGATGTGATATCGCCACGCACGCATGCCTGCAGTCACCAGAGTGGCGGCACAGGTGGTGCCGACCGGCGGCTGCCCATGCGGGCAGGTGCTCATACAGACCAGAGTGGCGCGTGTCGGGCCATCTGCCGCATCCTTATTGGATGACTGCCGCAGCTCCAGGCTGCCACCCCTGAACCTGCGGTCTCAGCAGTCTGCCACACATGAGCGCCCCACCTTTTTGCCGCGTCTTTGACGGACACCCTGCTGCCTTTGCCCTCCGCATGCAATCTGCGCGACACCAGGGCTTGTACTTTCTCACAGTGCGGGGGGTCGGCCAGGGCGCCGACGCGACCTCGGGCTACACCAGTTAAGGCTCCATCGGACAGTACAAGCTCAACGTCATCACGCGCCCCCTGAGCGCGAACCTGACGACCCCAGTGTGCTCTGCCTTGAAGTCCGTACAGCTGCCACAGACGCCTGGCGGGTCTTGCTCCGTGGCGAAGCTAAACGAGTCGGACCTGTACACAACTGCCATTGATGGGGCAGATGTGACGATCACGCCCAGCCTGCCAGCCGACCTGACTTTCAGAGTAGGTGAGAGCGCATCCCTATTACATACGCCTCGGGCACGCAGACAGCTGCAGGTAAATGACGCGCTGCATGCGAGTCTCATGTGGAGACCCAGCACTCGTTGCTTTTTTGCCGTATCGTGTTGGCTGTCACGTATCTTGACAGTCTTACTCATGATCATTTGGCTGCACCCCACAGCTGTTGTGCATGCGCGCAGTGCGTGTCAATGCTCATAACGCATTGATCATTGTTTGGAGCTCCAAACAAAGATAGGTCAAGCTCGAGCTTGACCTATCGTGGCACGTCATTTGCAGGCAACAGACCTGCTGTCCAATTGCACGGGGGCGGGTTGGGAGGTAAATGCACAGATTCCTCCCATACATAGACGTCCACATGGCGCTGTTCCAGGTTGTTTGACTGGGCCCCGCCCAGCCCACATACGCATAAACTCGTCGGACCCAGTACCAATTGCGCGTTGCATTGCCACACTCGAATTCACGACACCAACGGCCGCAGGCTCTTACTCCTATTCCATTGCGGGCATCAGTGGCGCTGGCTGCACCGTCACCTTCACAGTCGCCGCGGGTCCGTCATGCACGTCAGCTGTCACCTGCACCAAAACGCCCAAGGTTGTGGCCCTGCAGCCCGGCAGCTGCAATGGCATCAGGATCAACCGGGACGACCTCTTCACTGGGGGAGGCGCTGCCCCCATAGTGACCCCCCAGTTTCCAAGGGATTTGTTCTTTGCCCCAGGTGAGTACACTGTCGTGCGACAGGCTGGCGCGTGCTGAATGCTGGTCCAATACAGTAATCAACGGGCCGGGGGCGCATTGGCTGTCGGTCTTTGGATTGATGTTCTGAAATTGCCTCAGGGGCACGCGCAATTCAATCAGGCCTTGCAAGGTCGCAGCCCTGCTGAAGTTTGCTTCTCTCTTGCGAGACACTGAGGCGGCAGGGACTTAGTGCGTGGCACATGACACCGTGATTTGTTGCATCCAACAAATGCTTCGCTGCACCGCACATACCTACATATCCACTGGCAACCTGGCGCTGATGATGGCCGACAATCATAATCATGCTTGCCGCTGCGGGCTGCTCCACAGGCAAGCGGAAGACTTACAAGGTCGTGAGCTCGAGTGATGCAAAGTCGCGCTGCAGTTTCAAGTGCGTCGAGATAGATGCTGATGGGCAACAGGGGTGTTTCAAATGTTGAGATCTTGCACTGCAGGTGTCTGCATGCAGAGAGCGCAGCGTATGGGCTTCACAAGCAAGCCAGGCAAACTCATGCACTGGATGGATCTGTCCATGTCCCGTCGTGAGATGGGATCAGGCAGACCTTGCAATTAGCCGTGATTTCAAGTCCTGCACTACCTCACATTTTTGCTTTCACGCACCCGTTCAACATCTGGCTCCTAACAAACGTCCAAACATTCCTCAGGTATTGATAAGGCCCCTGCACGAAAACGCGTGTAAATGCATGCATGTGCGCCTTCGCTACACACATGCACACATGCACACATACTCACACGTGCCCATGCGCGCGGGCACCCACACACGCGCGAGCACGTGCACGCGCACACACACACGCACGCACACACACACACACACACACACACACACACACACACACACACACACACACACACACACACACACACACACACACACACAC